TTTCTCCATGGCGACGCGAGAGCGACCATCGATGAATCGGCGAAACTGTTTCAGTGGACGGATCCCGCCACAGAGCTGATTGTCGGGGCGATGAAGGCTATTTCGATTTGTCGGACTTCGAATTCGGCCGGATTCCAAGGCCTCGCTCAGTGTGTTGTGTTCAGCGCGAAATGGCCGAACGAATCATCCCGGCTATCATCAACATCATGAAGATCGTCCTGGAAAAGCTTCACCGATGCATTCGACGCTCTGTTGGTAGCAGATTCGTACGTTGTCGACAAGCGACCTTCACAGCTCACGCTTCTCTGGCCGGAAACCCACGTCGTTTGCAACAAGCGAACCGCGCGCCAAACTTCCGCTAGAGCTCGCTGCGAGCACTGTGCCCATCGACGAGTCAAGAGCACAAGGTTCCCCAAACGTCATTTTCCCATTTTTCTCGCGCGTTTCCACACCGAAGTGTGGAAATGGACTCTCAGCAGATTCGACGAGAATGATTCCTTATACCATTCATGCGACGAATGATTTTCCTCGATAGCCGATTCGTGCGCTGAGATGAATCCTCGAGCATTCGTGATCGTTCGCTGAGGTAGTCTCCTCGGGGATCGTGACTTCAATTATTCGGAAATGAAGCTCGGACTCAAGCGAAATCGTCGTACCGGTACAACTGCGCGGCTCTCGCGATTTTCGAGGAGCGGAAGCCAAGTCTGACAGCAGTCACCGTATTATTGTATTTCTTCTCAATTCTTTGTCATTTATCTATTCTCTGATCATCGTTCTGTTGACGAGACGGGCATCAGGATGTTTGGAGGATGCTAAGGACGATTCGAAGCCTCTTCTGAGGGGGCATCCTCGTAGAGGCGAATTGTCCGATATCAAGAAGGTTAAGGAGGCGAGATTTCCGGGCCGACTCCTGAAAGAAGTACCGAGCTCATCGAGCGGGCTCACACACTCCGAAGAGATGGTGCGTGGCGTGCAATGAGTCGGGGAAGAGCTTGAAACGATCCAGACTTTCGAATTGAACGACGGGAGCAGACGAGGTAGCCTCCTTCCGCCACGGAGCCCAAGCTCGTACTCATATGAGGCCATTTGTGAAAGGAATCTATGAACAAGAAGCCCGGATTATATTGGGCGCTCTCAGAACGAGATTCTGTGGGGGTCAGGAAGTTGTTGTTCCCAACACTTCTTTAATTTCCCCGTGATAGTCGACAAGGCGCGGGCTGAACACAATCGTTCGCCCACCCGTGCGGGTTTTCGGACAATTGCTGTGAGCCTAACCCACTATAATTTTTTTCTTTCCCGTCGTACGGTGTCGTCGAGCCGAACATCCACGAGCCGATACATGTTAAGGCTCGGAATGACAAGGGTAAGAGGAGTTCGGCGTCGAGGGATGCTTCGAGTGTTCGCGAATGTAGTAGCGTACATTCCAAGCTGAATGATAGCTCTTAGAGGCAAGCGTCGATTTTTATCAGTGCGCCGTCAACCGTTCTCGTAGGGGCGACCGAATTATGGCGACGAAGCACAGCGCCCCGTTAGCGTTGGTTCACTTGCTGACCGCGGCCGATAATCGTCCCGAAAACCGCTACCTTATAGCTATCATCAGTTAGAAACGAGCGATAGATTCCCGAAAGAAACATTGTCGCGAGCAAGAGAGCCAGAGATTGTGATTCCATTCTCCATTCTCTATCCTTCGCTCCGTTGAGCGGGTTAACTCTCCTACTTCTAGCCGGATTTCGCCGAAGCGAAGGCAAACGAGACAAAAAGTTTGAATGTCATTAGATTCCGGTTCGATTCAATCTCCATGTTCTAATAGCCAGTGTCACGAGCAGACATGTCGTCTCCCAAGATGAATGCATTCAGTATAAGTCTGATCGGAGAGCGACGCTGGTCCATGGTGACCACAGAGCTTGGATCTAGAGTTGTTCTTTGAGTTGTCTCGTTCTCCACACTGAATCGATGAGCTCGTCGGTATCATTTGGGTGCGACCTGTTGAAAACAGAATTCCATTGAAGCGCAACGCAAAATTATTCATCACGGAACATCCCTCCCCAATCGCTTGTCGTAGCCCACCGCATGTGCGTACGCCGAGCTGTCTGCCTCTGCGGAATTTCATTCCAAGATCCTCCGCGTCCATTTGGAATCTCAATCAGGATCATTTTAAGTAGTCTCGCATCTCTTAGTTTGCCTCGCGAAACCCTCCAATTAGGAATGGATCCAGCAGCAGTGGCCTTTGACCTTGCATCGTACACTGCCGTCAGATTGGGCGATTGGGAGCTGCCCTGCCTCTCGAAGTTCGAAATTTCTCGAAGCCTCGCTACTTCAATTCGAGGAGTTTAGGAGATTCTGGGTTCTGGGCTTCAGGGCGCGCCTTTCTTCCGCGGATGATAAGTCTGGAACTGATTCTCGTCCGGACCAGTCGCAAACCCTCAATGGCTGGGCTTGCCTAGACAACGGACAGCTGGCGAGCTAGCTTACGTCATGAGCGACCAAGCTCGTCCGTAAACTGCCTACGTCGACAGCGCAACCTACCTATCTCGCATCTCACTATCCGAGCAATCGAATCCTATTCAAGCGAGTTTGCCATATACCGAGCGAATAGGTAGGCAGAATAGCGGCCAGACGGCCAAGCACTCAGACCGCCGCCGGGATGCAGGCAGCTCGGCCGGCCAGGCACGCTGACGGCGACGTCGGAAATACTGCACACGACGAAAGGAGCTACACATATAGCGGTGGGAGCTTGAAGAGAGACCAAGCTCACCTATGGAGCGGGTACTGACGCACTCACTCACTCACCCTCCGCGTTGAAACAGCTGAGCTACGCTCCGAGCGGCGCACACGGCTAATCGGAGGTTCTAGCTCGTACATTTGCGTAAACTCGCACATTGAGTCCACAGTTCTCATTCAATTACGACGATGTGTTTTAAGTGCCGAGAGACTCTTACCGATAACGAGGTGAGCCAACCCAATGTCTGTCCTCTCCTTTATTTCACAAGATCGAATCGTCTCGGAGAAATGACGAGATAAGATTAGATGAGTGGTCGCCGCTCGATCGTTTCAATCGTGAAGTGCAGCTCGATTGGGAGCCGAGAGTTGTCAGACCCAAGCAGCGATAAGGACGATGAGCTCGCTTTGACGTCACTACGACGACAGCTGTTGAACCGTAACTGGTTTCAGATTTGACGACGGCTCGAGTCCTTTACTGTGTGACTTGATGGACGGTGTTCCACGATCTACATAGGTGTGTTCCTCGTGAACTCTTCCCTCTTGGTCCACAAAAGTGTATCGTGTGATTTATTGAGTTGTTTGTTCGCATCGATTCTTAGCGACTCGATCTTCACCTCGAATTTGTGAGTTGGGTTTGCCTACTCTTTTGCCTACTCCTGGGAAGCTCATCCCTGTGATTCGATTCCGAATCAGTGCCTTCAAGTTTCGTATGAGTGAGATGGGTGAGCGGCGCTCCAGAAACGTTGATGACTCGGATGGAAAGATGAGTTCAACCCCTCTCGGAATACCTGACGAGTTTTGTCGATTGGAACTACTGCTTGGACGTTCTCGCTCGTTCGTTCGTCACAAATTGTTCCGGCAAGAGTGACCTTATAATGTACGAATAGTGTGATTTCTCGGTCGCTCCGCCTGTCGGATTCCGCACCGATTGTGAGCTGCTCGCTCCTCTGCTTGGTCGAGAAGCTTCTGTTCATGGTCGGAGTCCGCTGACGAAGTTTTTCAACGTACTTAACGATGTATTGGTTCGCGGCTGAGTTTCGGAGAGGCCTCACGGCTGGAAAACAGAAAACATGTACCCAGTCAGCACTAAATCAAAAAGATAGCGAATTCCCCTTGAAGGTATATGGAGTGTCATGAATAGCGGCTTGTGCTCCATCGTGTTCCCCATATGTGCTCTTCCGTGCCTCTCGAGGAAGCTTCTGATTGCCCCGTGGTTCCCAACAACTCCTTGAGCCTCGTTGGGTTTTCCGCTAGCCAATGTTGAGCCGATGGAGAAGGTCCGCGCCGTCGCCTGCCTCACCGGCACTGGGTTCTTGCTCGGTTGCGGTGGATTGTCCCATCTTTTTGGCTCAGAGGATGCAGAGCTCGCCCTTACTTTCCGGACTGCGCAAGACGATCAGCGCCGTGCAAGAATTTATTGTTCCCCCTGGTCGATATACCTACATCGGATTCTCTGATGATGGGTCAGCGGCTTTTTACGCCCAGCGTTGCTTTTAGCGCCATATCGATCTTGATCGTCGAATGCGCACTGATTTTTGGATCTCAGGGCGAGGGATAATAAGTTCCGTAAAATAGGCGCGAATGATGACCATGACCGCAGGCTTATCCCGCTTGTTTTCTTCAGCCTCGGTCGCGGAGTTCATCACCGGATCCGGTTTGCTGCCGAGCGAATGTCCCCATTGAATTCCCGTCTGATCTCTGGATCCCAATCGTCCACAGATAGACTCGAAAAACACACGGCGCGAGGCGAGCTCCGGAACAGCCTTGTCAGCGGGAGGAAAATTCCGTAAATCGAACCTTCCAGAATTGGCGTGGTGTCGATGATTTTGAAAACGGGAGGGAATCGGCATCAACAAGGAGTAGGAGCGAGCGGAGCTCGTCAAACAATGGAATCTACCAGTACGGTGCCAGAGTTCGTTCCGAAAAGTCAAGGACTCTCTCACTGCGCAAACAGAAGCAACAGCGTAAGCTCGTGCAGCAAGCGTAACACGCAAGGCCTTTTCAACTCTAGCCATGGATCGCGAAGAGATTGCTTTGCCTTAGGATTAGTCGGGGGATTCCTTTGTCCGCAATACTTTGAAGCAGCTGACGCTATTCGTCTCGGATTGCGAGGGCATTGACATTTTTTCCACTGAAATACGATTTACGGCCTCGAACAGGACGACGGCCGCGTTTGAGACGAGACCTTTCAATCTCTAGGGAACTCGACCACTTGACTTCGTTCGAGCGATTGATACTAATGGAATTTTCTCCGTTCTTTGCAGACTGAGAGCCCCGAAATGTTGATGGAAAACGGTCAGGACGGTCAACGGTTTGCCGTGTTGAGTTATGAGCAGGTGCGGCGCTTGGACAAGGTTATGAACGAGTCAGTTCCGATCAATGGCCGCGGAAACTTCCCAACCCTTGACGTGAAGCTGTCCGACCTTGTTCGTGTTGTACGTCGCAAGCTGGAGCATGAAAACGGGATTCACGTCCGAGACATTCGCGTCAACGGCGGCGTCGCCAGTCACGTGCTGTCGCCCGAGAACTCCGCATACAACGACCTGGACCTCATCTTTGCTGTTGATCTCTCCAACGGAAAGTCATTCGAAAAAGTCAAGAGTGCAGTGCTTGAGTCGTTGCTCGAGTTCCTGCCCGATGGAGCCTCGAGTCGCAAGCAGCGCATATCTTTGGCGAGTTTGAAGGAAGCCTACGTGCATAAAATGGTGAAGGTCACCGAAGGTGATCGTTGGTCGCTGATCTCATTGTCCAACTCGTCCGGGCGCAATGTCGAGCTCAAGTTCGTCGACAAAATGCGCCGCCAGTTCGAGTTCAGCGTCGACTCGTTCCAGATCATTCTCGACTCGCTGCTGCTCTTCTACGACTGCTCCAACATGACTATGTCGGATAACTTCTACCCAACCGTTGTAGCTGAATCAGTGTACGGAGATTACCAGGAAGCGTTGTACCACCTCCGCAAGAAGCTCATCGCCACCAGGAATCCCGAAGAGATCCGGGGCGGGGGCCTTTTCAAGTACTGTCATCTGCTCGTCCGAGACTACAAACCGGCTAAAGAGGAGCAATTGAAACAGTTGGAACGATACATGTGTTCCCGGTTCTTCATCGACTTCCCTGATCTCGCAAACCAACGACGCAAACTTGAATCTTACCTCACGAATCACTTCATCGGCGAAGAAGAGCGCGCCAACCGTTATACCTATCTGATGATCCTGCACCGAGTCGTCGACGAGTCCACAGTCTGTCTGATGGGTCACGAGCGGCGACAAACCCTCAATCTCATCGAGGAACTGGCCTCCCAGACCTATTACGAAGAAGTCCTATTGGCGTCGAGCAAACAGCATGGTGTCGCGTCGCAGGGATCCGGAGGTACTCAGATGCCCTTGGAACTCGGCCCCGGTGCTTTCGTTCAGTTCAGCAACGGTTACTACTACACGCCGTACGTGTCATCTTTGTCCCAATACGCCACCAACTGTGTCTGCAATTCCACGGGTAGCAGTCGGCCAAGCTCATCGGGGGCGTCGACGCCCACATCTGAAGGGTCAACTGGCAGCTGGACCTCGTAAAGAAACTGCGGCAACCCTGTGATCTCTAACTCTACAACGCGCGGCCATTCGTAGAATTTCGTTCCGACTCACTAAAGATTCTCCCGGTTACCTCTGTTTCCCGATCCGCGACCTCTTTCCCGCCTGCCTGCCTTCCCGCGCCCTGCCTCCACCTGCCCCTTATCCCAAATGAGCCAAGTCAAGTTCTCTCGGAGCGACCATTGTCGAGAACGAAACACGCAGCGAGAAGTATTAGCATGGAATCGAATCGCGTCGGGATACGAATGCAAGGAGGAAGATTATTCCGATGTTGAACCTCAACGAAAACGGAAATCGGACCCAGGACTTATCGGCAGCCCTGCTCCCGGAATTTTCCGTTCCTTAATGCAACGAGCTAGTGTCGTGGGATCTTCAGTTTCTCCCTCACGGATCGGACAGGAACCCATCTTCACGAGCTATCGCAAAGACGAATAATTCGAGCAAGCTGTGCAGAAAATCTGGAGGACAGAACGTTCGAGCATCAATTCCCGGAGAAAGGGGAGAAGAGAATTATAGAGAGATATATACTTTTGAGCGCGACGCAAAAAAAATACATGTGCATCGAGCATTGGGTTGAAAAATCGAAAAAGCGGAGGGAGTTCTCAACTCGACCCAATGGATACGAATCACCGGCTTGCTCCGTTCGGCAACTGGCTGGATATTTTTGTAAAATGAAACTTACGCGATGATGAGCTAGAGAGTCATGATGTCATGGAGTTCGACGGTTACGATTGATCAAATGCAGCACACGTTTCATCGGGATGCCGAAAGCTAAAGGGAGAACGAGGAAAAACTTCGGACGACGCTCACTTTTGGCGAATTCAGAGACGGAGTTCGGAGACTCGTCGTTCCCGCGTCAAATCCTGCGGCGGAAAAACTCTCCGCACACCGATACGACGGGGGTTGTGGGTGAAATTCAATGGAATCGCCTCAAGCAGACTTCGCACCCGGCGACGAGAGCAACGATCATGAAGTTGAGTACGACGATGATCAGAACCCTCACGTTCGCTTGCGAGCGAGATGCTTCGACGTACGTTTCCCTACGCTATGCAACAGACAGCTTTGGCCTATCTTCGAATCCGACTTAGAGACATTCAGAGAGATGGAAAGCGGAACGCCTCGCTTTTCATTCAAGATAATTCCGTAGACTAGATCTGATCGACGCTATCATATGGGGACACTTGCGGCATGGGCTTTGCATAACCTCGGGAAAGAGGAACCCTGATTGGAACCCAGCTCTACGACTCGTCAGAGCCATCTCGAAGCGGAGTCGCTTCAGACAGATCCTCCGGGCGAACCGACTTTGAGCTTCGTGCTTCAATTTCTGAAGCCCGTGTACGAACATATCAGTTCATATTAATCATTCTCTGCTGAGATTACTGCAAATGATCGTCGTTCCGGGGACTTGCGAAATCATCGCTCGTTTGAGAGCTCGCGTCAATTCTGGTGCTTGACGAGGAAAAATATGACTCGATGATTGAAAGGGAGCGAAAAAAAATCGTGAAAAATACCTGAAAAAAAGTTCTATTCCAACACAGCCTAATGCATGTTCCCAATCCCGAGCTTGCGATCCTCGCGTCAACTGATGCAATCAATCTTCACCAAAGACCAGCTGCGCAGCATCAATAGGAGCGGCCAGTATCGCATCGCTACGCGCCGTTGACCTGGGGATCGCGAGCTGGTCAGTGATTTTCGAGTCGCTTGCATCTGACCGTTCCAACCATTCTCCTCCTCCTCTCGTTTACTACTCTTCAGCTGAGGCATGCTTCAGAACCGCAGCCGCTTGTGAAACAATCGCTCTATACCACGTCTGACTAGAAAAAAAACCGCATCCCATGCGGCAGAACTTCCAGTGACTGAGTGGGAGCTGAGAGGGGGGATGAAGCATTCGCGCACGCGAGTAAGAAAACGTGCGGAAGGAGCGGCAGCGTGCTGATCCGCCTGTAGAAAGAGCTTATCGAGAAGGCCACCGCGGGAAATATGCTCTTGATGAACTCACGGACACACATATATTTCTTCTCGGCCGGCTGAACGCATTACATATGTATAAACGTTGAAAAATTTATGGGAACTTCACTGTTAGAGAAGACCTCACAGTCTAATTTGTGTACAAGAACGGGTCGAGGGCCTGAGCTCCCGGTCATCTGAGGTGTGTGATCAGTGTGATTCCTGGGATCTCCCGGGCAGATCGAAGGCCGCCCAAAATATTTAAGTGTAAACCTCCGAAGCAGACTTACTCTTCGAGCTACTGAGGGTGGAAGAAAACATGTAGAACTCCTGCGAGATGTGAGAGGAACACAACGAGGACGACGAAAATACGAAAAAAAATCACTCGATGATCTATTACATGATAAAACCTTTAAGTGCCATCGTGTTACACACTTCTTTATTCTCCCAAGGAAGGTCGATAGGAAATCATGATACCATGTCAAAATTTGGAGCAGCTAGATGATCCCTCAGTTGTTTTCCTGATCCCACAATGAGTTCGATTGACGTACCTTTCGATGAAATTGTGGCGAAACTGACAGTCGCCAGAAAGTAACAATCAGTCTGTCAGTCAGTCATCGCAACAATCAGATCACCTAATGTATCCAAAATGCTTGCGATGACACAATCGTCACGACGGCGTTATCCGAGATAGCTGCGGAACACGTCTCGTCTAGCTCGGGGCAAAAAACAAAAGTAGGAAAAAAAATGAACAGAGAGACTCAGAAGCTGAAAGAGCGGAAGAAGTATAATTTGGGAGGGATTCCAGATTAGTCCCTCCGCCGCTATTCAAACAGAGCCAGAATTCGAGACTCACTTGGGAACATCTACGATACATACATCGAAGATCCATACATCCATGTATTGTGGACAGATCGAGTTCTTCTTCCGTGAGCGTGGACTGAGGCGCACACGCTCAAGTCAATTGTTATTATCGTAAATGTTTTATTTTGCTCACTTTCGCCTTGTCATTGACTGTCGCGACCTCTGTCTCCGGTTGTTCCGAAATTCATTGTACTTGCACCTGGAAACCGATTAGAGCACCTCCCCGAGGAGAAGGCTCTTACCAATAGAAAATCTGAGAATCCAGAAGAAAACACATTTTGATTTGATCCGAGATTCGAGACGACATCCTGGATGCAACCTGGGGCAGAGGTACCGTGAAGCCATGGAACGGAACAACAGAAAACGACAAAAGTGATATCAATAATAATAATAATGACGACGATTATGATTATAATATCAATGTTGTTGGATGGCCACTCCGCGTCGTCAGAGCTGAAGCTGAAGAATGTGTAATAATAATTAATGCTGTTTCATGATCGATAATCACAACAATAAATATTATATTGATGCTGCTGATGACGATATGGATAATTTTATTGACGGTTATGATCATCACGTACATGCGAAATGACACAGTTTGGTGTTAGATGGGTTCATGGGTCTACATTTCTACATCGACTCCATCCTTACAGATATCTTGGTTCGATGAAGAAACAGACAGGGAATTTGAATAAAAGAAACCGATCCAAAGAAAATTCTCCGACTTTGAGTTTTTCTTTTTTCCTGCGTCAAGGTCTGGGGACATGCCTCGGCCTCTAGGTCAAATGCTTCTGCATAGGGGAGGATGATTGTGCTCCTCGGCTTCGGGGGAGACGTGATCGCAGGAGCTCGTCGAACTTCTACCGAGCGGAATAGCGGAGTCCTCTCATGTCAGAGGATGGCTTCCCCCTAGGGATTCAGGAGTTGAAAAAATTCATATAAGGCCGATACCGATCGACATCGGCACCGGTAAGAGCGGGTGTCAGCCTTATGCGATCAGCTGCAATGAAGTTGGTCTCTCCGTTGCGCCTGCATTGGCATTCTGGTATTTGCTCCAGGCACGCGTCATGATAGGGTAGAACTAAAAGTACTAGGTACCAAAAATCTTGTGGCAATACCATAGCGCTACCTAGGTTATAAGAGCAATGCCGGACTGAGCGGCGACCACGGACGGACGCGTTGGGATCGTCGGGGAGTAGAACTCGCCGATCATGATCGATAATATCAGTACTCCGGGAAGAGATTCAGGCGAGTGAAGTATCATGAAGCGCAGTGTATGAAGACATTCAGACTTCCGATAGATGGACACCGATCGGAGGAATATGTATCACGGGAACGAGCTCTTGCATCGCGAAGAGCCTCTTGCTCGATCCGCTTGATTTCCTGGTTACGCCTCTCTCAGAACGGCTCCAAGGTTTGCTGTAGGACCGTCTCCAGGGCCATTGCTCGCCCGGCTTTCGGATTCAAAAGTATCCGCATCGAAGCTCCCGTGCGAGAGACCTCCGCGTGCAAGAGGGATAGATGGCGGCCACCAGTCCATCTTGAACAGCGCTCGGCGCTATTCCGGGGTACGGCCCGGACACGGAGCTCTGCCTGGTTCTGGGCTCTAAACTTATGCCAGTTTTGGTCAACATCATGGTGATTGCTCCTGATGTGCTGGCTTAAGTTCAGCTTTCATGGCTTCCGTATGAGCTTGCGCTGCTCGCTCGGGCCCTAACTCACCTCACCTCATGCATACGTTCAGGGGTGACTGGAATTCGGGGCGCTGCTCCCCGGGGCGAATGATCGTTCACACTCTTCCGACCTTAAAAAATCGATTCGAGCGCATTAAATCATGGGCGCGACGAGTTTCTCGAGCGCATAGATTTGGTAGCACCTTGCTCTCACGGGTTTCATCAGAGCATCTTCATGAGAAAGCGATCTTCCTCATCCTTGCACGGCGCGAAGCGTTCCAGCGGCGCGCTCCGTGCGAGTCTGACGTACGATTAGCCCCCGGATCCAGAATCTGCGATGATGCTCCTCGATAAGATCAGCGCGTCAGAATGTATATTCAGGCAATGCATCCGCGGGAGCTCCCGGCTATCACAAGCCTGAGACTCTGTGATTCACCAATAATTCTTCTGCGTCCCCCTGTGAAAACTTCCTCGGTGCAGATAGGAATGCCTTAGGGA